TATTTAAAAGAGAGAAAGATTGAGAGAAAAAAAAACCCTAAAAGCATCACTGAGATGAAAGACCGGCCAGAAATTTACGCAAAACGAAAATGAACGAAGACGAGATTTTTTTCTCTCTGTCGCAGCTGCAGCTGCTCACCAACACAAATGCATGCACACACAGACGGGTACACCGTACCAGCCCAACAAAGTCACAACGTACGATATTAATTGTGAAATGCAACACTCTATTCGAACTGCACCAAAAAACCGTTCATTTATAGCTAAAAACCTCATTTGACAATTCCAAATACGGCCGCTCGATTCACACTTGATAAAAACTGACGACAAAAAAAAAATGTTTTTGTGTCTTGGTTAATTTTTGAGTAGAAAATAAAAATCGCTGTATTTGGAGTGATTCGATTTTTGTTGTTTTGAAGAGAAAAAAAAAACACAGTTTTGGTGGATAACTTTCAATTGAAAGTAAAGGCATTTCGAAAATAATTTGTTGCTTTCGAAACGAAATATGGTTCAACTTTCCGTAAGAGGCAGTTTATTGAAGCAAAAACAAACCGTCGTTTTCTTTCTCTCTCTGTCGATCTTTTCCATTGGTATTGAATGATCATCAAAAATGCTCAAAAAAGCGATTGAATGAATAGAAAAGTTAAGCCACCACACAAACTGTTCGATTGATGGCGATTTACGGCAAATCTCTTCAATAAATTCCGTATTGACTCAAAATCCAATGATTTTCAGTTTGTCAGGTTTTTTTCTCCCTTTCATTTGGTACAAATAATTTATTTTCCCATTTTGAACGAGTCGATGTTCGGCTATTTATGAGGATGCTCTTTGTTTGAAACGAACCATTCACGAACAAGTTACATCGAACTGCACACACAGGTAAAACGAGGGAGAGAGAGAGAGACGTGTAATGTGCGCTCGGTGTAAACATGTGCAACATCATTTTTTGGATGGGTTCAACAACAATAGCAAACCATGAAAAAGAACACAGAAAACCAAACAACAACAAAAAATGTCTATATGAATGATGATTCTTTCAAAGTTTTTTTTTTTATTATATGCACTTAAAAACGATAGCAACAACAAAACGAGGAAAAGAAGCTGTCGACAAAGATGATAAACGTCAACAACAGAGAGAAAAAAGCGAGAGAATAACATCTGCCTCAAAAATCAGTAAAAATTCGATTGGATCAACAAAAAGAGAGAGAGAGAAGAAAAAAATTACGGTGCGTGGCAGCCGCACACTTTAGCCCGATGGGATGCGATTGCATGTACGCACCGAAATTGGTGTGTGTGATTTCAATCCAGTGCGCGCCGACAAGCTCATTCACCGAGCGCGTGTGTGTGTATATGTTGCGCATGATAAATCGCCTCAAACTGCACCGCACCAAAATGGAACGAATTTGGCCCGCATGAATCGGTGCTTGGTCCTCGTCGTCATTTAATGGCATAGTAAACTGATTTTTCTTTTCTTCATCTCTCTGTCTCTCTCTCATGTTGTCTATCTCACTGTCGCTCTCGCTCTCTCTCTCTCACACTGCCTCACTCTCGCTCTCGAGTAGAATGAACCGAAGAAAAACTAGACACATATACATGTGCGTGTGTGCGGTATCATTGTTCGTCCTTTCAATTGTATTACAATTTGGGTATTTTTGTTCTACCTTTTTTTCGGTGTTTCTTCCTTACGATCGCTATTCTGTTTCATTTCCATCTTATTCATGGGATTTTTTTCTGCTCTCTTTCTTACTCTTTACCATTTCTTCAACCTTATTTTCGTCGTATATTCGGTGTGTTTATGGCCGGAGCAGATGTTCTTTAAAATGCACAATGAGAGAAAAAAAAGAAGCATAGGTAACACCAAAAAATGATGGAAAAACCAAAGAAAGACAGAAAAAAGAACTATCCGTTGTAAGTGCATAAAAATCGATTGGACTGTGATTGTTTTGGAATTGTGTCTGCATATATATATGTGCTTGTGTATTCGAGTGAGAGAAACAAGGGACAAAACGGAATGAAAAGAACCCAAAAAAAAAACGAAATCATATTAAAACACATTCCATAACAAGTTTAATGTGTTGGCTTTGTATGGCCAGCAGTACCTTTGCTTTTGCATACATATCGTTTGTATATGATCACGTGTTGCAACCCGATCGAAGAAGCAGAAGAAAACGAGCTCACGGAGTCGAATCAAGATGAGATATGATTGACAAAGTGGTGTCGAGTGATACTCACACTCTCTGTGTAGCCAATCGTCATACCTTTCCGGTGTGCAACTGATTCGTGTTGTTTTTTTCTCGAACGTTTGCTTTCAAAATTTTCTCTCTATTTTACTGCATGTCACACTGAATGAGTGCCAAAATAGCGCTAAACAGAAACCTGTTTGACTCTCACACATGCACGCACACAATTCATGACATTGAAGGATCACAATTCAAGAGTCGGACCAAATGTAAAATACTCCTTGAGGCCAATCCAAAGTGCGATTTCAATCGAATGATGGAAAATTTTCAAGTTTAAATATGAATGAATGTAATGAATAAGGTGAAAGAAGGAATGATTTGGAATTTGCTTCAATATTAAATCGAACGATGAATTTGTCGTTTACATAAAATTTCTTTTTTGCCGCAAAGGAAGAATTTCCCTTCCGAGTTCGCCTGAAAAATGCATTTACCTTGAGAAAAAATTTAAATTTTCTTCTTTGAACAAAAAAGAAGGAAGAAAATCTTTAAATTTGTCTCCTCTAAAATAAAACTTCCTCCTAGTCAAAATAAACAAAATACGAAAAGTTTGCTTGCGTTCATCATCACAATGCAAATAAATAATTTTCTCTCCGAATTGAATGCGAACAGGATCTTCCCCTTTTTCTATAAATATTTTGGGTATAAAAATAGATGTGCATCATATTTAAAATGGCATCCATAAAGTGTCATTGTGCATTTTAAAAATACGAATCGTTTCTTGATGCATCAACACCGTTGTCGTCGTCGTCGTCGTCGCTGCTGCCACACGTCGCCGTCATTCGGCTTTAGAGGCTACACGTTGTTGCATGCAAATCAACAGCAAAATCAATTTTCAATGAGTTGCTCTAAATTTAGCCACGCTTTGATATAATACCTTTGTGGTCGACAACAATAAATGAACAAAGAAACGCGACACATGCACATTACACGTCGCTTTTTGCTGTTGCTTCTCTCTCTGCTTCTGTTTCACTTGGTTTTTATATTTCGTTGCACATTTGCATCGTGTTTCGATCTGTTTATGAAACGGCATGAAAATATAAATGGCTGTAGTTGATAAAGTGCATCGCAAAAATAGAAACAGTGGCAACAACGAAGCGACGGCAGTGGCTGTGGTGGCAGCAGCAGCGGCGGCGGTGGTGGTGGTGACGGTGGCGACGGTTAACATAAATTTCAACATAATTTCGTTAAAGCGAGAGAGAGAGAGAGAGAGAGAAAACAAATCTTTAGTGTATTTCTTTAGGTATAATTATGTGTGATTATCGACGAGTTCCTCTTCGCCAACTCACACAGCTCAACTTCTGTTTTATGATGATGCATTGGGATTAGAGCTGTGAAGCGCACCAAGTGCGGAACACTGGAAAATGCATCGCATTTGGTGCTTTTATTGTCCATGCTGATGAAGAAACAAAACGAAAAAAAAAAAACCATGAGAACGGAGCAAGTGAAGTAGCGATTTGATTGAACGAATGAGTGGCGAGTAAGAGCTAAACGAGAGCAAAAGAGGAACAAAAACAAAACCACACTATAAATAAATGAATATCAACGAAAAACACAAAAAAGAACAATCGATATATTAAATGGGAACCAGCTTATCAGGACAGTGCATTTTGTCCCCGTATAAATCGAGCGATCAACGTCAAAGCTGTGTTCCGTCTCTCGAACAAATTGTTTTTAACATGTTTAATTGCAGAGTTAGTGTGTGTGTTTGTGTTTTGTTTCTGCTTCTGTTCTGCTCTGCACTCTCTCTCTCTCTCTTTCTCTCTCTCTCTCTCTGCCGTTGAATTAAAACACAAATGATAATGTCATTATCTAATTTCAATGCATAAATATGATTATTTAATGAGTTTGAATTTTGTTACGATTATTGAGCGCAAAGCAAATAAATAACACGCCAAATGTGGATAAGCATCTAGATTTCCGTGATAATTCCGTGTGGTTTTTTTTTCATTATCGACGTTGTTGTTGTGGCTTTTTTGATATTCAATTAGTAGACAAACGGGCTACTTTTAACGACCTGCACCACATTGAGTTGTCGAATTGTTCTTTTTTTCTTTTCGTCGTCGAGAGCATGGAATTTATTTAACCCAGAATTGGCGTTCCGCGACAGCCTTGCAAACGATTTCGTAGTAGAATGAAGACAAAAAAAAAACACTGTATAATCAATTGCATTTGAGATATTATCATTTTTAGAGCCGCATCATCGATGGCGCCGCTTTTTTTTTATAGTTTAGAACGATTTTTTTCTTCGTTGACGTTTTTTTTTTCGTCGACCTTTTTGTCGCTGTGCTCTTCGTCGATTTATTCTATACTGCTATAATTTGAATCGAGCGAAATTACAAAGCCGATATCAGACTATGATAACATTTATTTGACTTCCATGCTATTACACAAGCCATCAAGTACACCAAAAATCACTCGTTTCACGTCGAAACCAAGTGGATTTTATTATTCGTTGCCATTTTTTGGTTATATTTTTATAGTTTGCTTTCCTTGTTAACAAGGAACTGAATTCAGTTCAGTTCTGAGCTGAACTCAAATCGAAGGATCAACTTTCAGAAGAGTGATGAAAATCATCAGTCAAATGAGCACCATTATTATTGGTGCCATTATCATCCCCACGAAATTGACTCATAAATCGAAACCATTTTTTTTTTTGCTGTCGAATTCAAATTCTTTTAAGTATAGTCTTATTTTGGTTTTTCGGTTAAACACCATTTTCTCGATATTTCAACTAACCCGTTTTTTCTCTCTTTTTTCCAGAATAAACTTAGTTCACATGCAACAATACAATTTTTGGGACATGATGGGGTAAGTGTCGATGTTTTTTTTTTCTTCCACATTCATTTCGTCGCATAAATTATTCGAAGAAAATTTGTTTCTGTCTTGTGGTAAATTGGAATGTGTTTTTTTCGGCTGAAATTCGCGGTTTGTTCATTTCGACGGGTGCTGTTGGTTTATTTCGGGTTCTGGGCGAATGTACGGAAATGAAATTTGTTTTCAAAAAATAATCTCATTGAAAACGAACGACTGACTTCCTTTCGGAATCACATCGATGTATGGAATTGCAAACGGTTCTCTTTCTCTCTGTCATGAACGTGGTGCTACTCATGAAAGGCGGTATTGTCGTTGGCTTGCCGACATTCAGCGACAACTTATTCTAGTTAATCGCGCGATATAATTGAACAGCATGGGCACTTTAGTCGCCCAAAACGAAACTATATGCCGGCAACGGCAACGTCATCGTCATCGTCATCGTCATCGTCGAACCAAAGGACTTTCGGTCACCATTTTTGATTCGTTGTACCACCACGGAAAAGGTCAATGGAATTTTCATTCAGAAACTATAAAAACACGTTCGTTTGCTGCGCGAAATAAATCACATGTAGAAAAATTCATACGATGAAGAAAAAACGAGCCAACCAACCAACGAACTCGAGTTGAACCAAGAAAACGAGAGAGAGAGAGCGAGAGATAGCGAGAGCGGGCAAACAAATGACTTCCTTCATTTTTTTTGGCTTGGTTGTATTGACATAGAAATTTCCCTATGTGCGCACACGATGCCAAAATGCTGGATAAATGGTGCTCGCACGACAACGGAACCAAAAAATGAGCACGCAACCATATTCATGAGTGTATGTCGCGGCCATTGTGTTGTTGGCTGAATGGGGCGCTTTGAATCGATGTTATGCATTCGAGTTTGCCCAGATTTTTGCGCGCCCAGACACACTCACTCACTTACTCAGTCAGACACACACACACACACACGTAGACCGAGATAGAGTGACATAAATTACACACGAAATGGTTTAGTTACCAACGTCAACGGCGATGAAGGCAACGAGCAGCAGCACCAACAACAACTGTGTAGCAAACACATCACTCGAATATATATGATAATGACGCGTCGACATCGAAACATGCATAAATTGATGTGTAAGTGCAATGCATTAGCAAAACAATGCATTTTGTTGAATGAATTTCGGTCGGCGTCGCCATCGTTGTCGTAGTCGCTGCTGCCGCCAAAGCGATAATGATAATGCAAACAATGACATTGTTGCATCGAAACACTTAAAAATCCATTTCGTGTAAATGGCACGTGGTGAACATAGAGAGAGAGAGATAGATTAAAAGCCATAGCATTCGAACTATGACGATGCATCCCATCATGGCTGTATGAGAAAATCATAATTGCACTTTATTCACAGTAAGAATAGAAACTAGTGCTATTTAGCATAAAGTATACACTTTTCTGTCATGATGAAACTTCTTGAAACATCATGAAACTCCACCTGGGTCTAACGACGTTTTAAATTGATCGAAGGCGCTTATAGGGCGGAAAATGGCCGAGTGATTTGATTTAAACTTTTCTACATGTCTAGACTTGATTTTTGCTAATTTTTCGTTCAAATTTGAATTAATTTGATTTTTTGCACTTTTTGCATTTTGGACCGAGACTCTTGGTGCTTCATTCTGATTTCAAGATTTTTTTTATTCTATGATAAGATCAAATTTTCTTATAAATTTTTATTTGTGATAAAGAATTCGCGGTTATTCTCTTGAAATCCAAAATTTGCATTGCAATGCGAACGTTGACTTCGATGTTAGCTGTTGTTTCGATCTTCCATTGGTGGCACAACCACCGAAGAGACCATTACATTTTTGATCACCTCAAACTCTAGCTCAAACTGTATTTTTTGCTGAAAGGTCAATGAAGCAAAATGCGCACATTCATTCCCGGCAAACTATCGCGAAAATTTCAAAAGTTCTTTCGATTGGTTCGATGGCTTCCTACCAATTGTTCCGATTCGGCCGTATTCTTGGTTTAATTTACAAATCAAATCGGACGAAACGTGGCAAAATTACCAGATCGACGTATTCGACACGATCAAATCAAAGTTTTTGCCCGAATTCAATGTTTTATTCATCAAAATGGAGTGTTTTGAGTCGATCAATCCAATCTTTGGATGTTTATTGAACGAAATCAAATTTTTAATTATAACATTGCGTACAATAGAGTGAGCGGACTGTGTATGATTCGAAGACAAAGCAATTCACAAGTGGAACACATTTTTTTGGCCTATTGTTTTATGCCGCACATAATGTTTGCCTTGTTTTCGGCCAACAGATGACACATTCAAGGTACAATTACGGCTAAATGATTGTACAAAATATTCACATTGTGCAATCGATTTGTTTCGTGTGTTTTTGTTTTCGCACTACTGTTTTTGTACTCTGAAATCAACTCCATAGTAGTGGATTTGGGGTCAATAAAACCGGCACTGTCCATGATGATAATACACACATGTCGAATTCAAGTCGAAGAAAGACGACGTAAAAAAACGTATAGAGAGAGAGAGATCGAATGTGCCATTTGAATGATCCGTGATAATTCTTTTTAATTCGATGCGAGAAACAGTGGGAATGAACGCGCAATTTTGACACTCACACAACAGCCACTGAATATGTTAAATGCACAAAATCAAAATTCAATTGGCTTTTTCTATTGCCGTGTTTTTCCATTCTTTGTTCAATATTCCTCTTTCACTCAATGTCTAGCCCTCGCTCTATTTCGTTCTCTCTCGATCTCTGGCTCTTTCTCCGTCGCCAATCTTTTCCATTTCGCAATCACTCTTCTGTCTCTGCTATCGCTCGTTCCTTCTATCCACTTTCAGTCTCAAGACAATTACAGCGTCAAAGAAAAAAAAAGAAAATTAAATAATAATACGACCGAAATAGGATTACGTCAAATAACAATGAGTTTTGTTGTGGTGGTGGTGGCTGTTCAAGGATTAGAAGTGAGAATTTCACTGGTTGCCTTGAGTGTGTGTGTTGCGTGGTTCAGTTTGCCATCGACCGTACATCGCACCGGGCCATACTCAATCCGAAGGCTAAACAAGGCATGAAATGTAAAGTTCAAGGCTTCGGCAATGGCTTTGGCACAACGGAGAAGGGTTTTTTCTTCTGTGTGTCGAGTTTTCGGGAATACCGCAGACTAAAGTTTTAGCGCACATTATGCGCCAAACAATGAAGCGATTAAAGGCTATTAAATGAAACAGCTTCACAATTGAATATGAAAAGAAATGTAAAGTGAAATAAAATCACAGCAGTGGTGATTCACCACCAACACATCGCCCGACTTTCACTGACTCTTGATCTAGCGCGGGCCGTTTATGTCTTGAGGCTGGCCACAAAACATTGGGCTTCTCTCCATTAGCCGATGCTCATCCGAATAAAAATTTCATTGAGCTAGATTTATGCCTCGTTATTTCACATAAACACACGCCTCTCTCTCTCTCTCTCTCTCTCTCTCTCTCGCTTGCTCATCAACTCTATCAATCTGCTTTGTTTATTTTATCATAAACCAGCAATTAAATTCATTCGGTCGTATTTACACGTTTCGTCGACTGTAGAACGACGTTGACGGCGTAGACGAAGAAAAAACGTAAAAAAAACTCCGAATCTTCGAACGAAATTTGTTGTACGTACGGAAAGCAAAGAGGCTTAACAAACAAATACGTTAAAGTGATTTGTTTTTGTAAGCACTTATTGTTTACAATTTATTTAACCTCATAAAAGAGTGTGCGACACGAATTGTACTCACAACAACACATAAAAAATCGATGAATGGCATTCTCTCAAATCGTCGCATGAATCCCGCAGTCGATTCATAAAATTGAAAAAAAAAATGAACATTTGATATAACAGAATAATATCGCTTTTGAATTCGCGCCGTTTTGCATTCTAATCGAATCGAAATCAAACAAACCACAGAGTAAAGAAAAGGTAGAACTTTGTGAACTGCGTGCATTGCAATGTCCAATGAATTGGGCTATTTTGACCTCACGCCTGACAATCCACACAAAACGCATTCTTGCAAAATCGAACGACGATTTTCAGTTTCTTTTCATTATTCGTCTGTTGTTGTTGTTTTCTTTTTCACTTACTGGCTAATTATTTTTTCTGCATTGCATTGTTGCTCGAGTGTGTGTTCTTGCGCATATTATGCACATTCCGTGCAAATGATGCGAGCGTGTGTGTGTGTGTGTGTGTGTTGGTTGACAAATGTGCCGATTGAGCACAATTTCAATGGGTTCAAAGCAGTGAAAGCTCGATTGAAACGTGTGTACAATGCAGCCAGCGCATGGCTACCATGTTTTATTTTTTCGTCGATAATTCAAATGCACAGCGAACATTTCAACACCACCGCACCAATTGCCTCCGCCGAATTTGCGGTAGCTACCGTTTGTGCAGGCAACAGTCCGAAACTCAATCTCGTACACACATACCAAATCGCATCGAATATGCAGAAATTCCAGAGTGTTAACTGATTAAATCGATTGCGGTTTAGATCGACATTTATCAATTTTGTGCATCGTTCCATGTGGTTGGCTATGTGCTTGTATCAATTGGCAATAAATACACAAGCAACTCATTTAATTGTCGCATAAAAGTTTCATTTTCAAATGCAATTGGACGATGGATTGGTTGCTTTTTTGCTTCATTTCACCACGGATTCTGAATCAAGTGATACCTTGATTACTCGTTAACCTACTTAAAATGAAAACGATTTTTTCGTCGTCGTCGTCGTCGTCGTCGTCGTCGTTTGCATCAATCGTGTGTTAAATACACAACAACAACCACTCGAAGCCGGAGGAATTTCAAATGAATTGATAAATTGCGACAAATCATGAGAATCCATTTGGAGAGTTTCGCCAATCGATTATGGCTTATGTAAATCAACAAGAATTCGAGAGTGTTTTTCCCCCTCTCGAAATCGCATTTGCTCGCCAATCATCATAGCTTATAAA